GGAAGAAGTATTACGAAAGGGTTTCAAACTAACAAACGATTGCGTACCCTATGTCCAATAAGTTTTCCTCTAACTTTTTCTCTCGTCTGCTCAATAGGTTGCCAAGAAACGTTGAGGGCTGTGGAGTTATATGACAGTGCAACAACAAGTTGAGGAGCCACTTGTGGCATATCTTCTGCTGAATAAATTACAGCCTCATTACTTTCAGGTCCTGCGCCTTTTTCATTAAATGCCTGAAAATTAATAGGCAATTAATTTATTTCACTACTATCTTTTTTGTAATATTACCTGGACTTTAACTATATATTGTGAATAATAGTAGTTTGAATCAATATTTACAACTGCTCTGCCAACGTTTCCTAATTCCTTTAACAACAATGTTTGAAATTCGACTTCATCATCTTTCCTCTTCCAAAATATTTTGTAATGAATACCAGGTCCGTTTTGTTCATCCATTCTGAGAGGTGTCCATGTAATAGTTAAGTCTCCAATTTTTCCTCCGCCACCACCAACATTTTTGGGAGCAATGTAAGGTCTATCAGGTGGGGTAGAATGTCTTGGACTTGGTGCAGAAGGTGGCCCCATTCCCAACTGATTCCACGCGTTAACTCTGAACTCATAAACTGACCAAGGAGTAAGAACATTTTCAATGACTGCTTCTTTTCTTCCCGTATAACGGTCTATTTTCTTAGCGTATACGCCATGAGTTAAATTAACCCACGTAGAATTCCAATTAGTTCTACCACTAACTGTGTAACTTAAAATAGGTCGCCCATGTGAAGCACTATCAGTCCATCGAAGAATAACGGAAGTTTTCTTTATTTCGACCACTTCTAAACCTCCTGCAGAAAAATTACCTCATGGTGAATATTATTTATATTAATTCTCTTTTGTTCATTATTTACCTGGAGGACCTGGAGGTCCTTCAATAACAATATAGGATTTCGAAGATATTTTACCCACTGCTGATTTTACTAAACACTCGTATTCCCCGGCATCCGAAAATGTAGTGTTTATTATATGTAAATTCCCTCCATCCATGTACTTCAAAAATAATTAATGTGAAACTTTTTGTATTAATTTTTTTTTAAGTCTTACCAAATGTCCATTTGAACTCAGTACGTCAATATCGCGAATCCTCATGCCATTATGTTTCCATATGTAGGCTACATCTAACATTTCCTCTGTTTCAGCATAGCAAGAAAGAAAGATTAGGTTGTTTACTGACGTAACGATCCTCGGTCGTAATGGTTCGAGTAATCTAGGGGGATCTATGGAAAGGCATTTTATTTTTATAAATATAAACGTAGATTTTTATTTAGAAACTCATTTTTGTACTTACGAAGTACTATAAGTCGGCCTCTTGACTCATCCATCCCAAGTTCATTACTTGCTGTACAAGTATAAACTCCTTCGTCATCCCTAGAAACGGGACTAATTACTAAATTACCAGTTTCATAAATACGACGATGACCTCCCGCGCCTGTAATACGTAAAAATACGCAATTTAAAGAAATAAACACATAAAATATTGACAAACAAACCTATAACATTGCCATCTTTCTTCCATATGAATTTAGGTCTAGGAGCTGCTTCTGGACTGCAGGTTATAGTAACATTTCCTTGTTCAGCAGCGTAAATTTCGGACTCCAAAGGATGTTTTTTGAAGGACGGCTTAAAAGCTAAAAATCCAGTTAGAAAAAAAAGTAAAATATATACCAAAAATTGAAATTACCAAGCACTCGCAGTTGGGCTGAGGAATACCTAGCTTTCAAAGTGTTAGCAGCTCTACATTGATACATTCCTGGATCTCTATCATCATTAACATCAAGTATTGTTAATACATTGTCCTGTATTTTTATTCTTCCTGTATCTTCAGGATCCATATAACCCATCACTAAAAATAAAATATTTGGCCATCACTGCCACCACTCATGGACTCAGATATTTCATAGATCGATTTTTAAATGTAAAGCTCCAGAAATGGTTGGACTGATAAACAAGCAAATTAAAAAACATTTTTTTATTATTTACCTAACTGACGACCATTTTTCCACCAAGTATAATTCACGTCAGGAATACCAAAAGCTTCACATGTCCATACAAGTTCACCTCTGCTATCAACATGTTTATCAGTAAGTGGAATTGTGAAATTTGGCTCAGCTACAAAAACACAATAAAAAAAACAAAGAATTATTAAAGGACATCAATACACCAAACCTTGTATACTGAGCATGATGTTATTTTCAAGTGAAGATCTATCATTAGTTGCCCTACAAACATATTCTCCTTGATCTTCCACCTGTACATTTGGTATTACTAAGACTCTATTAAAACTAGTTAGAAACGAATTTCTAGGCAAGCTTCCTCCTTTTCGTGTCCAGTTATAACTTGGAATGGGACTAAAAATTGCGGATAATAATAGATCATTAAAAATTCCGTAACATTTATATTAAAGAACATACTAGCCAAAAGCAATGCATTCTAGGCGGACGTCTTTCCCAGCGATTGGAGCCTCTGGAAAAGCCTTCGGGAAATTATTTGGAAACTTCAATTGTTGGTAATTTGCTACAATAACATGTATTTATTAAATAAGAATTTTAATCGACACAACTACGGTTTACAGTGAGGATTAACTCTCAATGGAAAGAAAGGCCCATTCTTTCCGGTGTCCGAAACCTGAGATTGTACACTACAGCTGTAGTTGCCTCTATCAATAGTTTCTAAAGCAGAGAAATAAAGAGCACCATCATATGACACAAATACTCTCTTATCTTCTTCAACAAAATTTGGGAAATAATCACGAGACCAATAATATCTAACTGAAGGAAAATGGTTTGGAGGATCACAATACACAGCTTTCCCCCAGTTTTGGTCTCCCGATTCAGGAGATCTCTTTAATACAAATTCCAGAATAAAACCAAAATTTAACTGAGCACTCTCTGATATTATTGTACCAAATTTGTTAGTTGCCTTACAGTGATATGTAGCACGATCAATTTTCTATAATAAGAGACAGATGGTGATCTAATTGCTATAAGTTTTCATTTTTTCAGTTTTACCTGTTCGGGACTGTGAATAATAAGAGTACCTCCACTAATGGTATACCTATTACTAGTATCTGAAAGGGGATCAATTTTTTGTGCTATAAGCCTATCATTTTCATAACTTTCTCTAAACCACTCATAGGTTGGAGTAGGATACCCTCCAGCTAAACAACTGTGAAAGAATAAACCACATACATTGCAAAAAACCTAAAAATATGTTACAACTTACCTCAAAGAAACATCATTATAAATTCTTCTTTTAGATAAATCAAAAGTTACATCCTCTGGTTGTTTAATAAAGTAGGGTCCTCGAGGAATATATTCTGGATTGTCTATTTCAACTCCATAAGTGTAAGTTCTATCATCAGTAACTAGTTTTTGCAATAACTGAATACTGCCTTCACATATAAACAGCAAACGTTCATCTCCTCTGACTGGATGAAAGCCCCATTTCATCAAGCTCTTAGAAAAGTTGTATGCTAAGTAATCTTTTCCATAAGAATCAATATTTCCATAGGGATCGATATCATTAAGAAATGCATTTTCCATGTTTGATAACTGAGTACCATCAGGATTTTGCCAATAATTAGGAGATTGTTGATGAGCACCAGTATACCATTGGCGATGCTGCGGATCTTGCCAATTTAATTGATGTATAATAAAACCATGTTCATCTAATGTATTTATTGATAATAAGTCTATGCCTCCTTGTTGTTCAGGTATATAAGACTAAAAAAAGTGTAGTATAACATTTTGTATACATTAACTGTTTAAAAATTTTAATTTCTTACTTGACAAATTTGCCTAGCTTCATTATAGGGGCGTAAAGGTGATTTAATGAATCTGTAACAGGATTGCTGGAATTGTATCCAATACTGAGGACATTTTAGCTGCTCATAAAAATCACTGTTTACACTATTGATGCTGTAGATATTGTTTTGTGCACTTATAATAGAACTACCACAAAACTGGTAAATGAAAAATATAAATGGCCACATTTCCTAAAAAATAGTTTAATTTAAAACATAATTTTGATTAGAAGACATCAATTAGACCACTTTGTTTATGTTCTTAAGGGAGTGGTCTTTTTTTGTTCCTATATTTAACATTGTAGCATTTAGAAGTTTTTGCTAATTCATCATTTATTTGTATTACTTACCAAAAGTCACATCATTTCTTTTACAAAAAAATCGACAAAACACACCTATCACCTCTGATTCACACAATTAAAATCACACACTCATCAACAAGCACTCAAAAAACGAAAATGACATTGGCTGCTTGACATTTGAAATCAATTTTCTGTTTCGACCACAGAACTAACAAATTGAGCACGATTCTGGCACGATGGCGAGATGTGAATCGACTATGTTTAGTATAAATACGTGATAATACATCAAAAGACAGAGATAGATAGACATTGATCACAAATTATCTATCCCATGTTCTGTACAAATCTAGAGACAAAACATGTGAAAATTATTTGCTTACATTATTTTCAATAAGTCGGATTAATAAAGAATTTGTTACAAAATTAAAATATTAAATTATAAAAGGCTTCATTTGTTTACATTCAGCAGACAATATTACAATTGCTACTCAATTTATAAAGTGCATAATTTGAATTTAGTTTTTATTTTGTTATTTTATTCTTGAGGAACTCGACGTACTTGCTTTTAATTAATCTGTTGGACATGTTTAATCAGATTAGTCATAAAAAGAAGTTAAAAATATTATTACAAATTTATTACAAAGCAACAATTAAATTTCAATACAAACGAAAACAACGTTTGTGAATACATTTCAGTATTTTCAATTAAAGGTAAATTTAATTTATCGTCTTTTATTCTTTTTCTTTTGGTGTGTTTTTCGCATATTAGCTCTTGCAGCCGGGGATGGTTCCACGCTAGAAACGGGACTCTCATGAGAGCCTGCTTCTGTCTTAGAAAAGTCGCTAAAAAATAAATATTTCATTAGTGAACACGACCAACGGTTTTATAAAACAATTTACTATTGGTCTGACTGTCCTGAAGCAGTTCCTTGTGACCCTTTGATTACTTCTTTTAATCTTCTGTCTCTTTTCTTTCGATAGCCAGATCTTTCATATTTCGGCAACCAGCGTTCGGGATCAGGTGGAATATTCGGATCATAATATTTCGGAAGTTTACCTTTACGCTTTTTCGTCTTCTTTTTCTGCGTAGCATCACCTTTGGGTGTGCTGGAAACAATTAAAAGGTTTAACGACCAGGCAAATAATAATCTTTTTGATCATATACAGTGTGTCTGTGGCAGCATATGGGAAACAGATTATAAAGTCCGATTATGTCATTATGTGTTTTAGACCATGCTGGACTTTTTATAAAAAGTAACTTTTTTTCGTAAGATTAATAATTAAAAATATCCCATATGCTGCCAACTCAAGTAGACACACTATAAAAAATTACTTCGGAGACATTTCAATTTTTGTAGAAACTTTCTTTATTGTAAGCCAGCTGGAACTTTCCAATGATTCCAAGTCAATATCCTTTGCAAATTGACCTATAGAAGGCAGTTTTTCACTGAGTGATTTCACTTTATTTTTATCAAACTATAAAAAAAAAGCCCAATGTAACACTGAACAGAAGATTTTTAGTTTTCTTACCAAAGCATAAACAAGTACCAATTGTGCTATTGTCTTTTTATCCTGAGGATTAAACTTTAGTAATTCTTCTAAACTACTTGCAGCTACTTGTGGATGGCCATTTTGAATATGAAATTCAGCAGCCTGCCTCCACATGCTACTAAGATCACCCTTTACCTACAAATAGAAAGATGCTACAGTAAGTAATTATTGTATAATTTAACGTTGAAAGAATTACTTTGTTTTTCTTATACCAATCAACGGTCATTTCAAAAAATTTCGAAGCAGTTTCTTCGTTTCCCATTCCCAAATGCAGCGTAATTAACGCTCCTACAATACCTGGTTTGTAACTATTGTCGCCCAAGCTTTCTAGAATTTTGCAGGCTTCTTGCTTTTCACCCTATGAAAGAAAATCAAATATTAAAAATAATATAATACTGGGTGGATAGTGTAATAAACAAACAACTTACTTGAGCTAATAAAAGTTGTGTACATGTCAATTTAATAAGAAGATCTTCACTACTGTTCCTTGTTTTCACATTTTTAAGAGAATTTACTGCATTAAATACGTTTTCCTTTTTAGCAGTGCAGAGTGCACTAACAATGTGTGCCTGGCAGCTTAATTCAGGCCAGTTTTGTTCTACAAATTTGCATGCTTTTGTACATTGATCAAACTGATTTGTATAGTATAAGAAAATGGCATTATTGAGTGCAATGAATTTTCTTTGTCTTGAAGGTAATTTATGAATTAAAGATTCACTTGTGGCACTTTTCATCTTCTTTTTAGAATCGAAAATATTTTGATCTTTATTAATGACAACTGAATTATTTCCAGCCACTGCTATCAATGCAGGATCATCTAACTTTAACTTCAAACATGATGTATAAATTTGTTGGGCTTCCTTAATGCGCCCTAGTTTCTGATACACATATGCTAACTGAATCCTTTAAAAATACATTTTATTATTTAATAAATAAGGGTGAATCCAAATACCTTATCAGCGAAAGTTCAACATTAATTTCTTCTTCTGAACAACCTTCTTCGTCTAGGGAGTCACGGCACATTTTTTCACATTGCTTTAGCTTCTTTTCAACTTCAGAAAATTGTTCTAGAGCAATTAGACAACAACTTTTATTGTAACACTGTTCATATGTGTCTTCTGGAATATTTTGCAATTCTTCTATCTATAATAACAACAATAAAAAAAAATGTTGCACCAATACAAATACTTACAATTTGATTTTTATTTTCGAATAATGAAAGAGCTGCAGTCAGATTAGTTTTACGTTCATCTTCATATTCATCATTTACTGCATTAATTAATTTTTTATATAAATTGAAGGCATCTTGATATCTTTCCAATCTATAAAGCACTTGGACCTTTAACTCTTGAGTTTTATTACTTTTATCATCATTTTCCAAAATTTTAAAAGCTAGTTCTGGCTGGTTTAATCGGTATTGACAATAGGCTTTTTCAAATGTAAGTTCACTTAAAAAAAATCATTCGTTATAGCTGTATTGTAATTAACATTACCTGTATTACCCTAAATTGCTCTGATTTTTATTAATTACAGCAAGAGCTTCATCAAATTTAGACTGTTGTATTAGGCATACAATTTTACAGTGTAATGCTTTATATTCTAAAGGTGCCATGTGAATAACTAAAAAAGTAAATAAGAAAATGCAAAATTGAATTAAACATATGCTACTTTATATTAAAGTGTTACCCCTATTAGATGCTTTAAATGCACGATCCCATTCACCATCCTGACTATATCGAAATATATCATAATAATTGGATGTTAGTAATTTTTCCCTGGCTGCTTTATCGGCCATTTCGTTTTCGAAATACTGAAAAATAAATTTGAAACGAAAAACTATTCGATTGTCCTTTATAACCTCTTCCTAGTTCTCATCCATAGATGGGGAATTAGAACAATAGATACAAAATGTCCTTGAAAACAGTGTCCCGAACATATGTGTTCTAGCATACCATAGATTACGGAAATACATAGAGTACGTTCCATTAGACGCTCACTACATTCACGATAATCATAACTCCGCAATAATAATAGCATTTATTCCTCTTCCACTAGCTTGTGAGCGTTTTGTTTGTTTTGCTTACTCATGACAATGCGTCGCTATAGATTAAAGCAAGATTAATAAATTAAACTGCATGGCATATGCATGACATCATGTTAAGTTAATCTATGGATAAGTTGACATTCAGTAGATATTCGTATAACGTGGTATAATGACAGCAAGAACATGCGTACTGAGTCCATGAAGTTCTACATTCATAACATGATCATAGATTATAATTCATACAAACAATAATAATATTCAGTGCAACCCCTAACCTTAGTCGACCTTAACCCATTTTTCTTAAATTCATGATCAGAGATGCACATCACAGAGAAATGCAACTATGTTATTGCATTGCACTATCTAGTAAGTAAATAGCATGGTAAATAGAAGGTAGTTAATCAATATCAGTGATAAATAACGGAAACTGATGCGCTGACATATCAGGACCTGGAGAAATAAATATTGCAGCCCGGTGCAACAGTTTGGTGTGGCTTCTGTAACGTGAATGTTTGGTCTAGTACAGAATATCAAGATGGATTTCTGTACTCCAGAGTGAGTTAACATTAATTTTTTTGTATAACGTAGTACACATCTAAGACTTATTCCACAGGTTGTCTGTAGAATATTTAAATTCCGTGTTTGAAGAAGAAGATAATTTTTACGGTTTGGGAATTTTAACAAAATTAAAAGACTTTTTAACAAAGTATACGAGAAATTATGAGAAAGCATTAATGTTTTTATTAACAGAAGACAAGCAAAGGTTTAAAAACAGTAAAGATGCTGACATTAAAGTAATATTTGGAAGTTGTCCTTTTAAGGAACTGCAACAGTTGGTTAAGGTAATTAAATAACAATTGATTGAAAGATTTTTGCAAGTAGTGCCTTAAGAATTGGTTAGTATTTTTTTATATTAGTTGATGCCTATTATTTCGGGATTTTTGGAGAAATGATGTAAATTGCTGTATAGTAGACGTTTGTAGTAGTATTAATATGCAGAAATGTTAAGAAGGAAATGTAATATTTTCGTAAAAAAATGCGACAAATTTATGCAGTTTAGGGGAAGTTAGCGAAAACATGGAGTCAGGCGGTATCTTGCGGAATTTCGACCGATGAACAAAAGTTTGGGAGGTTATATGTGAAATAGTTTCGTCCAATTAAGAAAATTTTCAGAACTTATCTTAAGGCACTTTGGTTTTCGCATGAAATAAATAGGAACTGTTGTACTTGGTCAGTACTACCTACCTGACTAAACATCATGTCTCAACTCGTCTGTCAACTAATGTAAAAATGATGTACTTGTTTTTTAATTAAATCTGAATGAAACATTTTTGTGTATAAAAAAGTTTAGATTTTAAGAAAAAAATGTATCATGTTCTTTAATCACAGTTTTAAATGAAATCCAATATATTTTTCAGTGGGCTGAAAAACTTAGAGATGTAATTCCAGCATATCATTTTGATAAAATAGCCAACCAGACAGCAACAGATCAGTTAAAATTGAAAAAGGGTGTAGGAACATTAGTTCAATTTACTGAGTCTAAAGTTGACAGTTTCTTTGTTAATAAAGTTTCTGGTAAAGATGATACCAGTCGAAAGTCAAAGTTTCTTGATAATTTTAGTATGCGATTTGAACCTGATGATCAAAAACCTTCATGTTCTTCAGCAGGAATAGCAAAAACAAAGTCTGATATAAATAGCACTGATTGGCTAAAATCTCAATACAATGCATATAAGGATTTTATAACACATTTAAATTGGGAAGATTTTTGTGATTATATTAAAACAACTTTATCGACTAAGACTAGTCAGGAGGCTTTACAAAATGAACTTTTTGAAATGTTGGGCTTTGAATGTTTTGATTTGATTCAAAGTATAATACAAAAGAAAGATGTGATTCTCAGTAGTATATTACATCCACAAACGGCTCCTTCTGCACACAGTAATCCTGAAATCAGAAGGACAACTGAATTATCAAGCGAAACAGGAGGTAGAATTAAAACTTGCCATTATGACTGATAGCATAATCACTATTACTTTTTAACTTACAGTGAGGAGAAAAATTCCAGCATTAAGTAGTCAAGTAGTAGTTTATTCACAAGAAGAAAAGCAACTTGAAAAGAAAAAACGTAAATTAAAAAAAAAGATGATGAAAAAAGGAACTGCTGAGAAACTTACTGACACTATTGATCAAGTGTAAGTATATTTGCATTTTAAATAAGTACTTTTGTACATTGTTAAGAAAAATTGTAGTGAAAGAAATCTTAATACGGCGAAACATGAGCCCTTATTTAAACCTGTTGCAAATCTTAATTTACCTCATTTTAAAAATGTCCACGATGAACAAACAGAAATTCGTCAAAAAGGTAAAAAAAAGTACTTAATATGCAAATTTTTAAATTATAAAAATTTTAGCTGTAATATGTGGTAAACCCATCACTATTCCATTTAATGCAAAGCGCACCAGTAATAAGAAATACGAAGAAGTGGTAATACCAGCAAAAGAAATACTCAAAAAATCTGAAGTAACATTGAGTATTGATAGCTTGGATGTTATTGGAAAAATGGTGTTTCGTGATGTGAAAAGTTTTAACCATATTCAATCAGAGGTGTTCCCAGTTGCTTACTGTAGCAATGAAAATATGCTAGTTTCAGCACCCACAGGAGCTGGTAAAACTAACATTGCATTAATGACCATTGTTCATCAGATTAAAAATTCTATTGAAAATAATGTTGTCCAACTTCACAAACTCAAGGTAGGCTGAATAACAAAAGATTTTTTTAAGTAAATACAAAATAATTGTGTGACATTTTAGATAGTTTATGTATGTCCAATGAAAGCATTAGCAGCAGAAATGACAAATAACTTTAGTAAAAAATTGAGTTGCATGGGAATAGTTGTTAAAGAATTAACAGGTGATATGCAGCTAACTAAACAAGAAATTATGAGTACTCATATGTTGGTAGTTACTCCTGAGAAATGGGACATAATTACTCGTAAAGGAACTGGTGGGTTTTTATTGTTTTATTAAATTAAATTTAGTTAAATTTGCTATTTTAAAATTTCTTACAGCTGATGTTGAACTTACCAGTCTGTTGAAACTTCTTATAATTGATGAAATTCATTTACTGAATACAGACAGGGGCCCTGTCATTGAAGCATTAGTGGCTAGAACCTTGAGACAAGTACTTTCTTCCCAAAATATGATCAGAATAGTTGGATTGTCAGCTACACTTCCAAATTATTTTGATGTAGCACAATTTTTAAGGGTTGACCCTGCTCAAGGTCTGTTTTACTTTGATAGCAGATATAGATCAGTACCTTTAGAACAGACATTTATTGGTGTTAAATCTAGCAAATCAGACGTTCTAATTAAAGACATGAACGAAGTTTGCTTTCATAAAGTATTACATTTGTTAAAGCAGGGTCACCAGGTAAAAATATTTATAAAAATACGTATTATAGTGAGTTTTATAAGCTTTTATATGCTATATCTACAACAGGTAATGGTTTTTGTTAATGCCAGGAATGAAACTGTTAGAACAGCGAATTTTTTTAAAGAAATGGCATCACAGTTAAAAGTACTTAAGTATTTCCAACCAGAAGTTTCAATTAAAGCAAAAAAGGTGGCATGGAAATCCAATAACAATTTAAATAGAGTTGTTGAAGATCTCATTCAGTATGGACTTGGTGTTCATCATGCTGGTATTTAAAATTTTACTCGTTTGTTGTTTTTTTTTCATATTTGGTTTTTTTAAGGTATGCTGCGAGCTCATCGGAATACAATTGAAAAATGTTTTGCGGAAGGTACTATCAAATGTTTAGTTTGCACAGCAACCCTTGCATGGGGTATTAATCTTCCTGCGCACGCTGTAATTATTAAGGTTTGTACAAAAAGTAATATTAGACGCAATTGAAAAGAATAAATATTTGAGTAATACAGGTTCAGCAACAAAATTCCTGGTTTTTGGTTAATTAAGAAACATTTTCGTGGCTGTAGATTTTTTAATACAATACAGACAAAATTTATTTGCTGCACTACTCGTAACAGGATGGCTGGTAAAAAACGTTTTTACAGATTACATGCACTACATTATTAGATAACCTTTAGTAATTAGATCGCAAAAGTGCATAAGTATGTAATTTTTTGACCCCATTCCCTCTGCAGTATCTATACACCAGCTGCCACTAATTGTTTATTAGAATTAGAAATTGAGCTAAACAATTTTTTTTATAGAAAAGTTATTAAAAATTATTATTTCATTGGCGTTAAACAATAATTACCGTATACTATAAATATAAAAACACTCGCATCCGTGCCAAGTAGCTAATAATTAAATATTATTATTATTTATTATGGGGACGAAGCTTCTCTTAACTGACTCCGAAAAAAAATTGCTAAATTTTACGCATTACTCCTAAACTACAACGCCCATATTTCTAGAACTATGCACACTTCATCTACTAGGTCTCAAGAGTTTCGTAAAAAAAGTTTAAAAATGACTGAGTAATAAGCGATTAAAAAAAGTACATGTTATTTTCATAATTTTATAATGCCTTTCCTGCGGTTCTTTCCCCTCCTCCCTTTTTTTTCTCTTCTCTACCTTGTAGAAAAGCTTAGGATGTTAGCTGAAAAAGATAAGTATATAACTAGTTGTGCACTGTTAGCTCTTACATATTTTGAGCAACCTGCATTTCTATATAATGAGCTCTATTCTACTCTAACCGCTCTGTCCTTCTTTTAACCGACCACTGAACTATCTCTGTTGGTATTTTTTTTCTAGGATATATTAAAAGATTTATTTAACAGACACTACGTTTACTTTTATTTTCAAGATATTTTTAGTTGCTAAAAATGTTGGTAAGTGTTAAATGTAATGTAAATAACAATATTATTGAAAATGTATTAATAGGTGGTCGTTTTGAATTTGATTTTTGTCTAAAGTATATATACCTTAAATAAATTTCAGGTTTGTGTTTCATATGTAAAATTAACATACATTTCAAATCATTTTATATTTACTACAGGGAACTTCGATTTATGATTCCAAGAGATCATCGTATGTGGATATGGATATATTAGATGTTCTTCAAATTTTTGGAAGAGCTGGAAGACCGCAGTATGACTCTTCAGGTGAAGCGTTCATAATAACATCAGAAGAAAAACTTCATCATTACCTTCAAGCTTTAACAAATCAATTACCAATTGAAAGTAAATTGTTAGAAGCATTACCTGATCATTTAAATGCTGAGGTGCTGTTATTATTTTACTTTTTAATATTTTTAGTTGTTTTTTTTTTTGAAAACTATTTATAGGTAGTACTAGGCACCGTTGCAAATATTCAAGAAGCTGTTGAATGGTTGACTTACACATACTTTTACAGGAGAGTTAGATCTAATCCACTTGTGTATGGTCTCTCTTATACCGAATTACACGTAATATTTTTTTTTCTATTGCAGACATTTTGAAGGATTGTTTTTAAAATACTATACTATTTTTAGGATGATCCAAATTTGCGAGAACATTTATTGATACGAGCTAATAATGCCGCTGTGCAGTTAGATAATGCTCATATGGTCAGATACACATCCAAAACTGGCGAATTAGTTGCCACTAACTTTGGTAGAACTGCTAGTCATTACTATATTAATTACGATACAATGGTTACATTTCATGAAATGATAACATCGTTCATGCAAGAAAGTGATATAATCAATATGATGTGTTTCTCCGGTGAATTCAAGCAAATTCAGGTAATTTTTTATTCGTTATTATATATTATTCAGACTAGCCAGTTCCACAGTTTTGTGACATTCTCTTTCCAGCTGTGCTCTTAGATATAAGATAATTAATTATATTTTTGTAATATATGTGTTGTTGTTTTATAATAAAGGTCAGACCTGAAGAAATAGATGAATTGGATGTTTTAAAAATGACGTGTGAATATCCAACTCCTCCCGTTGAAGAGCCTGTCGGTAAAATTTCCGTTCTAATGCAAACCTATCTTTCTCGAGGTACTATCAAAACTTCATCATTGGCTTCTGATATGATGTACATATCACAGGTAAAAGATTAACGTTTTATCTAATTAACATGATATTTATTATTATTTTAATTTCTTTAAGAATGTTGTGAGAATAGCTCGTGCTCTTTTTGACATCGCTCTGAATTTAAGCGAAGCGCTTTTGACTGCTAAATGCCTAACAGTTGCTCAAATGTTTGAAAGACAGTGTTGGATAACTCGTACGCCTCTAAGGCAATATCCCAATATTCCAAATTATGTTATAGAAGAAATCGAAAGGAAGAAAGTCGATTTCGTAGATTTTAGGGACCATCATGCTAAGCAAATACAAGTTGTAATCAATAGTTTTAAAACAGCAGAACAGGTGAAGGAATGCGCAGAGGCCTTCCCATTGCTTAATGTAGAATCTGGTCTTTTTCCCATCACTCGGGGAGTAATAAGAATTAAGTTAAAGATAACGCCCAACTTTCGATGGTTTGACAAATATCATGGGAAGGCTTGCGAGGTTTTTTGGATTTGGGTGGAAAACCCAGATAACAATGACATTTACCATTGGGAATCATTTGTAATTACAAAAAAGGCCTGTATATACAAAGAACCTTTAGAATTATTACTTACTGTTCAGTTAGTTGAACCTCGACCATCTCAGTATTTAGTTCAAGTTTGGAGTGACAGGTGGCTAAGTAAGATTTTTGTTTAATCACTTTTGTTACTATTGTATACGTATTTTGTTTTCAATTTTTTTAGATGCTCGTACTACGCATTCTGTATCTTTCAGAAACTTGCATGTTCCTGAAGGTTACACGCCACATACTGACCTATTGGAACTCACTCCTTTAAGTATAAAAGCACTCAATAACAGTGAATACGAACGTATGTATAAATTTACTCATTTCAACCCAGTGCAAACTCAAATGTTTCATTGTTTGTATCATACTAACAATAACGTTTTATTGGGTGCTCCGACCGGTTCTGGAAAAACTATTGCAGCTGAAATATGCATATTTAGACTTTTTAATGAGAGTCCAGATCTCAAGGTAATGTTATTTATATGTAAAATATTTATGAATATTCTGACAAATTTGTTTGCAGGTAGTTTATGTGGCTCCTCTTAAGGCTTTAGTTAGAGAGCGTGTAGATGACTGGAAAAGTAGGTTCAATAAAATATTAAATAAACGGGTTGTGGAACTAACAGGCGATGTGAATCCTACTACTGATGCAACTAGTGGAGCAGATATTATTATAACAACACCTGAAAAATGGGACGGTATTACTCGAGGCTGGCAAAGTAGATTGTATATTCGTAAAGTAGGACTCATGATTATCGATGAAATTCATTTACTTGGGGAAGATCGTGGCCCTATTTTAGAAGTCTTAGTTTCAAGAACGAACTTTATTTCTGATAAAACAGGACGAAAATTACGGATCATAGGCTTATCCACGGCTATGGCTAACGCTGGAGATTTAGCTGCATGGTTGCAAATTAAAAAGGTTCGTAAAACCATATGATGAGAAACTGTTAACTGCTTTATTAGAAATTTTTCTTTACTTAGAAGCGGATACTTTATTTGGACTGCTCTGTAAAGAAATTTGAATATCTAATTATTAGTAAAATTTTTAAGTTTTTGAAAAATTGAAATAGTTAAGAATAATTTATTTGTTGTTTATTCAGATTAATGATGGGCCTGGTACTCGGCGGATCCGACTGGGTACCGGATAATAACGCCGAGTACTCGGCGGTGCCGCGGAATTTTGCAAGAGAAAAAGAAAATACCAATATCAGCAATAATAATTTAATAAGCATGGCAAAAAATCTACCTAATGAAAATTGGTTATTAAGATTGTATTGGTATTTGTCCTAATTTGTACTACTTATTTATTTGTATTTACTTTTTCTCATGAACAAGAATACATCAATATGACCGAATTGTTACAATTTCAGTCGCTTTTTGATTAACGATAATTTATTAGTATGACTTTGCCACCTTGCAGACTTTTAGTGTTTATAAACATTATAAGCTCATTTCAACGGTTTCAACTCTATCCTGTCATTGAAAATCCACCAACCAAGAATTGAAAATTCATTGGTTTAGTGTTGGTGAGGGTGGTATTTAATGGAATGATCCCCTAGAACGAAGACAGGAACCATTAACCGCAGTGGTTTTGCCGGGTACCCGACTATTCTGTACCCGGCAAAATCACCATCCGGTGCGTCTCTAATTTAGATACAAGAGTAATTCAATGGAATCGTCATATGTATTCTGTCGAAAGAATTGTATTGACAACCAAAGATAATGATAATGAATTATAAAAATATGGTTTGAAATTAAGCAGTTCAGTCATCATTTGGGATTCGCCCAGTAAATCATTTATTATTATTAAAATTAGAAAGAGGAGACTGTGGTAAATATTAATTGAAAATTAATTACCACAAATAATTTTATTTGAGCGGACACGTGTTTCGTCCACTTCGTACGTGAGCATTATCAACGTGAGACTGGTTCTAAAATTTACAATTCTAAGTATTTATAGTGGCGAGGGTTGAAGACCGAAAGAAGAAATAATTGAAAACAAATTACATAGGTTTGGGAGGAAAACTTGAATACGTTCAATGCCATTTGTAAAATGTTTCAGAAGCCAATCTTTTGGCCACGAAAAACAGCCCTACAAATGTATGCTTCGATAAACAAGTGAGGAATTAGATTTGGAGGGAATGTGTGTGTCAATAACCGTTAGTACAATTCGTAAGGCCTTTATGGCCCAATTTTATGTAAAAAACGGATGCTTCATTAGAACGTACCTAATCTGGGAAAAGGGGGGAAAAACAGTGAACGAGCGTGTTCAATACCCGCATTTTTAAAGGCCTATTGGGCCGGTTTTTACTGCGTATGCTTCAACAAACGAAAACTGTAAGGGAGAAGGAAAATAGCTTATCTTATTATAATCAATTAAACCTATTGCAATAGTTGAAACAGGACTGAATGAGGAATTGGGCCATCATCTGAGTTCATAAGAATATTTTTATTCTTTTGAATGTATAAACTTTCCCAAGCGTCAAGTTCTGATTTGCAAGAGACTTCTTTGATTAACTTTAAACATTTAGGGCCTATAGGGTGGTTTGTATTGAAAATATGTTGGGCAACACTAGATTTATGTATCCTGTTTAATCTAAAGTGAGCGATATGTTCTTTGTATCTTGTAGAAATTGCACATTTTGTTTGTCCAACATATTTAAGTTTACAACCTTCGCAGCTGATTTCATAAATTCCGGACTTGTTATTATTTTCTAATTTGTCTTTTGTGTTTCCTAGAAAATTTCTAAGACTATTTTTTGATTTGAAGATCCTAGTAAAGTTAAATTTGCTATGAATGGGGATAGACTGTTACCCATTGCTGTACCTTCATTTTGTTTATAAAAGTTTTGATTTATTTGGAAGACTGTGTTATCCATGCAAAATGAAGTTAATCTTAAAAACTTCCATTTTATCTTTATTGATGTTATTATTGATTAAATGTGTTTCCAAATATTTCAAGGACTCAGGGATAGGAACACTAGGAAATAAAGAACAAACGTCAAAGGAAATCAAGACTTCACCTGGTTCTAATGTTATATTTGTAATCTTATTAATGACTTTTAATGAGTTTTCAATTTAAAATGAATCAAAAGGAACAGGTAAAGAGCTGAATTCCTTTGTTAAAAATTTTGAAAGAAAGTAAATCGGTGAGTTGATATCTGAAACTATTGGTCTCATCGATTTACCGGACTTATGGATCTTAGGTAAACAATATAAACAGGGTAATGTGGGATTACCCAGAACCAGTCTCGCGTTGATAATGCCCACATATGAAGCGAGCGAAACACGTGTCCGCTCAAATAAAATTATTTGTGGTAATTAGGGGTGAGTATTCCTCTTAATTTTCAATTTATTATTATTATTTATTCATTAAACGGGAGTAGACTCCCTTTTATATATCACAGAAGAATAATATTTTGGCAGGTATGTAATGCGTGTAGACTGCCCCAAACAAAATTTAAAAAAAGAACTATTGAAGTCTTTCATTTTTGTTCATGAAACTTCAATACTTTTATTTTATTACAGTCAATGCTATAATTTTATTCTAATTAAGAGCGGATAATTTGTTTTGACTGCCCTGAAAAGTAGTTGGAATTATATTAGGCTGCTCCTGGAATTCTGTTTTTTTTTTTTTATAGGTGACATCAGGGTTAATATATCTTGAGTTAATAAATCATAAAAAGTGTTTGATAATTTTTTTTTCAGGTGGGGTTATACAATTTTAGGCCGTCTGTGCGCCCCGTACCGTTAGAAGTTCATATTTCAGGATTTCCAGGAAAGCATTACTGTCCAAGAATGATATCAATGAATCGTCCCACATATCAGGCAATACGTCAGCATGCCCCAGATAGTCCAGCTTTAGTTTTTTGTTCCTCAAGGAAACAGACGCGTCTAACTGCTAGTGATCTCATTAATTATTTAGCAATAGACGCTGATCCTAAACAATGGCTAAAGTGTTCAGAAGAAAATATTGACATGGTTGTTTCTACTATTAGTGATCCGGATTTGAAACACTTTTTACCTTTCGGAATAGGAATACATCACGCAGGTTTACAAGAACGTGACCGAAAGACTGTTGAAGAACTCTTTGTTAATCAAAAGATTCAAGTTCTTATCGCTACAGCTACTTTGGCGTGGGGTGTAAACTTTCCTGCTCACCTTGTTGTTATAAAAGGTAAGATATGGTTTAACAGTCGTCATTTTTTTAAATATTACATTTTTTGGATACCCCCCACCCAAACTGTTAGTTTTGATGCTGAATTAAACTGTTTTAGGAACAGAATATTATGACGGTAAAACAAAACGTTATGCAGATATGCCTATTACTGATGTATTGCAAATGATGGGCCGAGCAGGTCGACCTCAGTTTGATACGAGTGGAGTGGCATGCGTTTTTGTTCATGATTTAAAAAAAAATTTTTACAAAAAATTTCTCTACGAACCTTTTCCTATTGAATCAAATCTACTTGAAGTTCTTCCTGACCATGTTAATGCTGAAATAGCTGCTGAAACTGTATCAACTAAAGAAAATCTGGTGGAATATATTAAATGGACTTATTTCTACAGACGACTTCTGCAAAATCCTACTTATTATAATCTGGATAATATAGAAGAAGAGACAGTACAAACATATTTAAGTGATTTGATTGATAGTGTAATTGTTGAATTAATTAAAACCAACTGCATTTCAATTGCACTACATGTGAGTATACTTTATCAATAAGTATCAAATGAAAAATGGTATAAAATACAATTTTATTATTATTAGGAAGATTTATGCTATTTTAAGCCAACCTTCTTTGGTCACATTACTTCATTTTATTACCTATCTCATGAAACTGTAGCTCACTTCCAGAAGCAATTTAAACCTACCAATAGTATCGATGATTTAATACAAATTCTGTGTCAATCCCAAGAATATGCTCTTTTTCCAGTAAGGCACAATGAGGATAAAATTAACGAGTATGTATCCCAATAAAACGTCACTGTTTAATTAAAAAGATTATTTAAACTTTTTATCTATAATAGGAAGTTAATTCGAGATCTTGGAATAACAACAATTAAAAATGGTTCAACTGATTCCCCAAGTGTGAAAGTTTATTTGTTAATTCAAGCATATTTACTTAAACATAAACTTCCTAATCAAGAGTATAATGTGGATTTGAAAACTGTAATGGATCAAATTTTGCGACTTCTGCAGGTATTTTTTTAAGTAAAAAATAAATGTCACTGTACTATATTTGAAAAAGAATAATTCATGTTCAGTTAAATGGTCTATTAATTTTCTTTTTAGGCAATGCTTGATATAATAGCTAACTACGGTTGGCTGGGCAGTACTTTAAGAATAATTTATATAATGCAAATGATAATTCAAGGACAAGTACTTGATGAACCATCTATATGTACTCTGCCCCACATTTCAGATGAAGTTATGTATTCATTGAACAAGGAATTGTTCCCCATGGGCATTTCTTTACGACTCCCATCTTTAAGACTTGCCCTTTTGAATAATAAAAAAGGAATGGAAAAGGTGTTCATAAATGTTTTGGGGAAACAACATGCTCGCGAAGTTATCGAAAAAATCGAAAGTTTACCTTTGATTTTTATGCGCGTATCATTAAACGAAATAATTGATGACGGGGAAAAGATGAACGAGTTACATCCTCCCTATCAGCTAAATCTCGAGGGAGAATATGAATTTGACATAACGTTAACTCGAAATACTGCATTTACTCCGTGTGTTAAACTAATTCGGTTTCCCAAGACAAAAGATGAAGGTTGGATTATCTGTGTTGGAATCCCCGAATCAGACGAAGTTCTGTGTACCAAAAGAGTTACATTTAAAAAGCATAGCAGTGTATATTTGAAACTTCCGGCGCTGACAAAGAAAGGTATTCAAATTCAATTTTTCACCCCAAGTTTTGTCCAATTTAAGTTAATTGATTTCCTCAACTTTATATATTGTCGAACCTTTCACCACTTCATTCTTGTCATTTTCTTATCCATATCCTTTACACCTGTCGTACCAGTGTACAATCATCATCATCATAAGGTCATCAGTCCTAAGACTGGTTGGACACGTACCTCCACTCTTTCCTATCTTGAGCTAAACTTCGCCTTTCCCTAAAACTAGAACAACCCACATCCTTAACTATTTGTACAATATTAGATCTTTTTTATTCAACTGTATAATACTTTTGTAAAGAATCGTACTATTTTTTGTTACGTTTTTATTTTTAGGAGATTACTTAATTTCTGTGTTATTGATGTCAGATTCTTATTTGGGATTTGATCAGCAACTTTCATTTCCTGTGAAAGTTATTTCAAAGGAAGGTAATTAAGACTGATTGTGAGAAGATGGGACGATTCTTTTGAATCACTGTATTATTTTGTTCTGTTTGCTTTTTTTAAAATAATAAATGTTGTTTTGTTAAAATTTTCTTTTTGTTTCTTCATTACACTTTATTTTAAAATTTAAATTAATTATTTTTCGTATTTGCATGCATAATTATGGATGTTTATAAATGTTTCTATAAAAACTGTTAAATGTTTTTTCGTGTTACAATGATAAAACAATTGCTGTTATTTAAATGTGTATTATCAATAAATGTTCTATAAAACTAGCAAAAAGGGCTTACACTAACCACTTTTTTCATAACATGGAATGCAAATAATAGATACGTATTTGTAATCATATTACCTCTAAACTTCATATTGTATTTTGATATTTACAAAGCTTATACTAATTTTTTAAGTAAATTATCAGACTAGAAATTTAAAACGATAAATTAACAAAGTTCAAGTGTATTTCAAAGGTTAACANGGGCAGTACTTTAAGAATAATTTATATAATGCAAATGATAATTCAAGGACAAGTACTTGATGAACCATCTATATGTACTCTGCCCCACATTTCAGATGAAGTTATGTATTCATTGAACAAGGAATTGTTCCCCATGGGCATTTCTTTACGACTCCCATCTTTAAGACTTGCCCTTTTGAATAATAAAAAAGGAATGGAAAAGGTGTTCATAAATGTTTTGGGGAAACAACATGCTCGCGAAGTTATCGAAAAAATCGAAAGTTTACCTTTGATTTTTATGCGCGTATCATTAAACGAAATAATTGATGACGGGGAAAAGATGAACGAGTTACATCCTCCCTATCAGCTAAATCTCGAGGGAGAATATGAATTTGACATAACGTTAACTCGAAATACTGCATTTACTCCGTGTGTTAAACTAATTCGGTTTCCCAAGACAAAAGATGAAGGTTGGATTATCTGTGTTGGAATCCCCGAATCAGACGAAGTTCTGTGTACCAAAAGAGTTACATTTAAAAAGCATAGCAGTGTATATTTGAAACTTCCGGCGCTGACAAAGAAAGGTATTCAAATTCAATTTTTCACCCCAAGTTTTGTCCAATTTAAGTTAATTGATTTCCTCAACTTTATATATTGTCGAACCTTTCACCACTTCATTCTTGTCATTTTCTTATCCATATCCTTTACACCTGTCGTACCAGTGTACAATCATCATCATCATAAGGTCATCAGTCCTAAGACTGGTTGGACACGTACCTCCACTCTTTCCTATCTTGAGCTAAACTTCGCCTTTCCCTAAAACTAGAACAACCCACATCCTTAACTATTTGTACAATATTAGATCTTTTTTATTCAACTGTATAATACTTTTGTAAAGAATCGTACTATTTTTTGTTACGTTTTTATTTTTAGGAGATTACTTAATTTCTGTGTTATTGATGTCAGATTCTTATTTGGGATTTGATCAGCAACTTTCATTTCCTGTGAAAGTTATTTCAAAGGAAGGTAATTAAGACTGATTGTGAGAAGATGGGACGATTCTTTTGAATCACTGTATTATTTTGTTCTGTTTGCTTTTTTTAAAATAATAAATGTTGTTTTGTTAAAATTTTCTTTTTGTTTCTTCATTACACTTTATTTTAAAATTTAAATTAATTATTTTTCGTATTTGCATGCATAATTATGGATGTTTATAAATGTTTCTATAAAAACTGTTAAATGTTTTTTCGTGTTACAATGATAAAACAATTGCTGTTATTTAAATGTGTATTATCAATAAATGTTCTATAAAACTAGCAAAAAGGGCTTACACTAACCACTTTTTTCATAACATGGAATGCAAATAATAGATACGTATTTGTAATCATATTACCTCTAAACTTCATATTGTATTTTGATATTTACAAAGCTTATACTAATTTTTTAAGTAAATTATCAGACTAGAAATTTAAAACGATAAATTAACAAAGTTCAAGTGTATTTCAAAGGTTAACAATAATACATTTTTTAAATAATTAATTTTTTCTCTAGAAACGAACAGTTACGGAAATTAGATTACTTTTTATGATAAATAAATTTCTAAATTACTTTTAAAAATATATTATCTTAAATAAACCACCAATACTCTTAATAGGTTCTGCAAACTCGACTGTTATAATAGATTATTACTCATCATTTCGGTATTTAGATGAAAAAAAAATCATTGATTTGATATAAGCTATTTATCGCACTTTATATTATATACTGGTATTTGTATAATAAACTATACATATAAAAAAGAACTGTGATTACTTCAGTCGAATTTGTTTCGTAATATACTCTATTACCGTTATTGATATTAAAAATTGATATAACAGACATACAGCAAGAACGATAGATGTTTTAAATTCGTTTTATAAAATATTTCAGAATTATACATTTCCCTCTGTTTGATATACAAAAGCAGCTAAACTTCGTACAATGAATTAAATTAGTCATTGATTTGTGAAATTCAAAGTTATTAATTATATATGGCTGGGTAAAATCAATTTTTCTGTAATTGCTGGCAGTGAAATAGTTTTACTGTACAAAATTAGTCTGGATTTTACAAAAATATATTTTTTATTACCAAAATTCGATCTTGGCAAGTAACAATTAAATTAATATGTTTGATTAGATATATCATATCACCAAACCGTTTTTTTATTCTGTTTAAAATGATAAGAAATCGTGGATGTGAAGTTTTAATACGTTTGAAAGATTAATTTTTATGCACCTTAAAACCTAAAATTTAATATTTAGCACCCTGAAATATTACTAGTATAAAAATATCTTATAAAACCGCAATAACTTAAGAATGTAATAATAATAATTATTATAAATGCTCCTCGAAAGGTTACATCACATAATGATTTGAGCTTCAGGAACAGATGCTGCTATATTTTTATGTGGTAAGACCTGCCCTCCATTGATATAGATCTCATCTTTAACAATGACATCTTCCCCAAGTACAGTTATACCTTCCATTCTTACCCATCTACCTACCATACACCTCCAACCGATTATGCAGTTCTCCAACCAAGAATGTGATTTTACAACTGCATTTCGTAGGATGGTACATCTTTTCACACAAACACCTGCAATAAATTAATAGGATCTCTATAAGTAAGTTTACCTGAGTGTGAATTGATGAATCATGAATTAAGCAAACTACTTTCAACCATTTACTGATTAGGAAAGAGGTCATTGAGCTAACAATATGTAACTGTTTAATAACATGATAATTAGACAAATAAATAATAAAAGTAGGTCTAGTGTTGTGATTCTTAATCAGTTTTCGGCTTCACTTTTTAATTAATGTAAACACTTAACATGAATAAAGTACTTTCTTTTGAATTTACAAAAATGATTTTAGTAAACCTATATATTATAATTACCATCTTCAATTATTACTCCTGGTCCAATAGTAACATTAGGTCCTATTTGACAGTCAGATCCTATTTTTGCTGTAGGATCAACAAGAACGTTTCCTACAGCTCCTGGGCCATTGTATAATTTTTCTGGAGATTTTTGTCTTAAAGATTTCAAATATAGGCACATTCCTGAAAGTTATAACAAAATCAACTTGCATATAATGTTTTACATTACAACAATATTAATATTACCTGTTAGAAAATCCTTAGGTTGACCAACATCCATCCAAAAACCTTGTAATTCAAATGCAAAAAGTTCACCATCATCTGCCATATAAGGAAACACTTCTTTTTCAATAGAAGTTGGTTTTAAAGGGATTCTTTTTAAAACAGTAGGATTAAGTATGTAGAGTCCAGCATTAATTTTATTGGAAATGAATTCCTGGGGTTTTTCGACAAAACTTTGAATACAACCATTTTCTTTATACACAACCACACCATATTTAGAAGGTTCCTCAACTTTTGTAACAACAATTGTACCTTCTTTCCCATGTGCACGATGGAAATGGGCAAGTTGTTTAAAGGGAAAGTCACAAATAATGTCAGAGTTAAGTACAAAGAATGGTTCAGAGCTTTTCAGTAAATGTTCTCTAGCTAATGCTATAGGTCCCGCAGTTCCCAAAGGTTCAGTTTCATGAGAAAATAGTAATTTGACTCCTAATTTCTCTGCTTCAGCTCTAAGCTCTTCTTCCATCTGTTCAGCTCGATAAGATACTGCTAAAATTACTTCTGTAACACCGGCATCAACAAGAGCTTCAATTTGATGTATTAAAATTGGTTTATTTGCAAATTCCACCAATGGTTTTGGTCTGCTCAATGTTAAGGGCCTCAGTCTAGTGCCATAACCACCAACCAAAATAAGAGCTCTCATTCCTGGGTTTTTCATTATATTCATTACACACTTAACACACTTTGCTCTGCTTTTACGCTTCCTTTGTGAAAAAAGTTTTCATATGAAAGCTTTTTACAACATTGTACTGTTGGCAACTACACGTCATATTTTATATGTACTTCGAATTAATTTTTTATGATAACGTTGATGTTTACATGTACTCAAACAGGGAATAGCAAGTGGCTACACTTGTGTCTACGATTTTGTAATGGATGCGGCACCTTTAAAGGTTCAAAGTAATTTTACATTATACATATTTTACATAGTAGTTTTACTTTTATTTGTGAAGAGAAATATTGAATCAGTTTTGATATACCTATTAATAAGTGTTTCTCTTTACAAATCAACTTTTTTAAAATATGACCGAAAATGATGAAAAGGTTATATAATTATATTAATAATTTTGCATTTTAATTAGAAATCAAATATCTGAAAAGGATTATAATTAATGTTGAAAGATAAATAAGTTTGGAAGATTTGGACAACTAAGGACAGTTGTTTACACTTGTCAGCATAAATGTCAAAAACAGCTGATTTAGAAATAAATAAAATTGCTAAACAAACATTGCTACCTACTATTTCTTTTGTTGTTTTATAATTTTTACATGCGTTTTTAATTTTATAAAAGTGTACACTATATTTGTAATTTATAAGTCATGAGTCTATTTATAAATCGTATTAAAAAGGAAGCAAAAGAAAAGGAGAAATTAGTAAAAAGTGCTATTACAACCCAACTTTCAGAGATTGTGAAAGAAATTCAACTCGGGAATACTGGAGGAGATATATCGGGAGATACTTTCGATGTTAATAATCCTGTGTTATGCAATGTTGTCGAATCATTATTTCTACATGGATTAAAGAATTCGCTTATAAATCAAGCAAAAAGAGTCTTTGCTGATGTAGATCAACGTCCAGAGCCTAGCTTTTGGTCTTTACTTTTACTTATATCACATAAACAAATTATAAATCAGGTAATAATGTACTTTTTTCGTTATTGTTATGTTTAACAATCTAATTTATAGATTGGAAAATTATCTCAAATAACTACAGAAACAGGTCAATGTAGAGCATGGATACGTATAGCTTTAAATGATTCCTTACTTTCATCATACTTTTTTGCTATACAGCAAAACATATCTGCCATGAAAATGTATTATAATCCTTATGCTTATGTAAGAGATTCAGAACTATTAGATGTAGCTCAAAAAGTTATTGAAGGTTTAGAAAGTTCTGTAACATTTAATTTTCCCACAAATTCTAGCCTCCTAAACACATGGCCACCTGAAAGTTTAATTCTGGCAGGAATTTGGTGCCCAACATTGAGAACATGCCCAGTAAAAAATAATTTACTAAATAGTCCATATAGACTGTAATGTAGTTCATTTGTAGGTTGCATCTGGTGTAGATATTGCGCAGTCAATGCCAACCACACGATCAATAAATTCAGAAACGTGTTCCATAGATTCTTTAGTATCATCAGTGAGTTCTGGCTTTGGATGTATGCTTAATGAAGATGAGGCCCTTAAAATAATATTAAGTAAACATTCTTCAAAAACAAAAGTTGAAAACAAAAAAGCTACTGAGGAACCAAATTCTGGGGCTGTATCCCTCAAAAACGATCCTTCAAATGATGTTAAATCTCCAGAGTCTGTTAATTCAGATTTAAATACCACTTTAGGAAATTCGTTAAACAAACGTCTTGGATGGTCATTCAGTAAGGAAGATGAAGAGCAGAAAAATATTAGTGGTGGTGTCAAAATAGAGCCAATTCAAACACCCGATGCTACAAATCGGCCTAAATCAATGGAGAACAGTTATAATGCACTGATACAGAGCTATAACACATCAAGTGGTGCTAATGGAAAAATTCCCAATCTTTGTGATGTGATTTCAAACAACAGATTAGTTAATGACAAAGTAACTTATTCTGCTTTATTAATTTAGGAAATAGTAGTGAAATGCTTTCTTTTCAGCCTCCAGAGTCAGTTAAAGATATCCATTCAGAAAGGCAATCTCCTGTAGATGATTTTAAATCTTTCATTTTAAAAATAGGAACTATAGCAAAAGAAACTGGATTAGATAATCAAAATTTCGAATGCAAAGATTGTAAAGTGTACCTTGGTGTAACTCAAAAATGGAAGTATGATGATATAATTATATAACTAAAAGAGAAATACATTTTATAAATTTTAGGGTCTGTGGGTTTTCTGGTTACTATTACTGTGAGAATTGCATGAGTGAAACTGGAGAAATGGTAATACCAGCAAGAATCGTGCACAATTGGGACTTCAAAAAATATTCTGTATCAAAGAAAGCAGAAGAGTATGTAAATGAATTCAAAGAAATGCCCACAATCAACATGAAGGTCTAAACTTTAATAAAAGAAAAAATAATAAATAAAAATGGTTAACTGCATTTTAGACCCTAAATCCTTCCATTTATTCTGCAGTTAGTGATATGGCAAAGCTTCAGAAACTTAGGGTACAACTTAACTATCTAAGAGATTATCTATTTACTTGTCATGAGCCTATTATAGAAGAATTAAAGAGTAAAATTGGTTCTAGGGAATACATGTATGAGCATATTCATCAGTATGCCATTTCAGTAAGTTGGATTACTACCTTATAGTATATTGAAAACATTCTTGAAGGAAATAAATACACAATATGTTTTGTAAAGGGATCTTATCTTGTCACAAAAAAAAATTCCTGCCACTATATACTTAGTCTTGGTTTAGATTTTGCAGTGTATTTGTATCTATTTTTATTTATATTAAAAATAGATCCAAAAACAATTTTAAAATTCCTTTATATCTTAAAAAAAATAAGCGTTGAAATCCAATTTTGAAAGAATAAATTTGCTCAAACTTATTAATTTAAGTCAATATTACACATACACATGGCAGTTTATATTTAATAAATGCAAGAAATGCTTTAGATATTTTCTGTTTAGGATTTACTAGAGGTAACTAATGGAGCATTGGCTCAGCGTATACAAGAAGTGGTGGATTTCGGAAAACAACATGTATTGTCGTGTTGGTTATGCAGCCAAAAAGGCTTTATATGTGAAGTTTGTCAAGATTCTAAAGTGCTGTATCCATTCAACATCGAAAAAGTATACAGAGTATGTGTATCATTACAATTACAAAAATTTATTAAGGGCTAATTCGTATTTTGTTTCAGTGTACTGTATGTAATTCTATATTCCATAAAAATTGCTTAAACAAAGCTACACCTTGTCCAAAATGCGCAAGGCGAAGGAAAAGGACGAGCTTAAATTTATCAAATGTTGGGATTGACTAATGTTATCAGTTATGTTATGTACATATTTTTTGTATTTTTCAATACAGTTACTTAAATGTACTTAAAATTATTTTAACGATTGTTAATAAAATAATTTAAAATCTATTGTTTAGGTACTTGGTAATTTAAATTAAATAAGTTCTTATACNTGTTTTCAATGTTACAGTGGCGTAACAATAGGGTTGCAGAACGAGCAAAATGCCACTGGCCTTCGGTCCTAGAGGCCGTGAGGACAAAATTTGGTAATTAATTTTGTATTTAATCAATTTATGTTAGGTATTAATTCAAGAACATACACGAATTATGCAAATAAATTATCAAGACTTGAACACATTCATAAGAAAAAGATATTGACCAGTTTTAGAACCTATCCATTGCGCTAAGTTCATTTTTATGCCTCGACACTTTGGTGGCGCGCCCTGCGAGTAGTTGTTTAGAATTTAGATTTGTTAAAGATGTTTTTATTTTATTTTTAAATTTTTACAGGCTTATAATTTATTAGTGCGCTTTTTTAAATGAAAATTAAGTTTATGTAAAATGTTAAAAAATTTATTCAATTTAATTTTACATAGTAGCATTTCACTTCTAACGTATTTATACCTAGAACAAATAAATAGAAAATAAATATGAAAACCCTTAAATATTAAAGCCAAGTGTAGAACCCAAGTAGCCACGTTTGAAATTAGATTAAGTTGCCTGGTACATACACATTGTGCATGTAACAGGCGATGCATTTGTTTCAAAAATGGCTTGCAATAAAAAATAAATGTAATGCCCTACTCCTTAGAGCAAACATACTGTAGGTAGCATAATTTTTACATAAATTGCTTATACCAATTGCATTCTTTTGTTTTTTCGTTTTAATATATACATTGAGTATTAATTTGCAATTAATAATCTTACAATTCAGCGTCTAAATTAGCAAGTTCGGCTCATTATATAGACAATATGTAATAGCAAACATATCAAATAAATAAGCAATTAAATTATTTATTCCCATTGTACTGTTTTAGCAAAATCTTTGACTTTTTGCCATGGAAATTTGGGATCTTCAACGTTGAAAAGTTTAGCTGTTCTATCACGTCTGGCTGTTTGCTGTACGCACATCATACCATAAACTCGTATACCTGGTACACTCGCATACGTTGGTTGATTATGAGACATAGGACCATCTATAATAACCCAGGCAGTTTTAGAAATTATCGCATGGTACTTATATTTAATTCATTTACCAAGAAAACTCGTCTCTGGACAGCGACATATTACCAGATAGTGTGATTTACCAGTACGAATATTTTGCAAGGCTAGCAAAGACCAGTCCCTTGGTGATCGACATATTCTCATTTCGGTTGTTGGCTCACACGTTTTCACCAATGTTAATGCTTTCTAAAGATATATAATTAACTTAAAAATACTTTAAAATAAAAGTAATTCATTTTTTTTTATTTAAAATAAAACATGATTATGATAATATAAATTACTTACAGGCGTATACATATTTGAAAGATAATTTAATTTTTCTTACCCTTTGATTTTGATTAGTCAAGAGTTCTGTTGTATGCTGATCATCAGAGTTTAAACTTGCAGAACAAGGATCTCTATATCTTGAAGGACATGCACATAAGGGCTGTGTCCAGTTAAGTCGTACATATACAGCATTACAAACCTGAAAACGAATTAATTAAATGTACAGATTTTTGAAAACCGTTTCTATAAAAATATAGGTATATATTATATTCCATTTCTTCTCCTTTTAGTAATAATAGAACAATTAGAGTCAAGAAAGGGTGAAATAAATTTATTTATACGTATCAAAACCATAATCAACAATTTTTATCAGAACTTTCTGCAAAAGTTTGTAATGAACACCTTAGGACTTTAAAAATCTATCTTGAAAAATCCTCCAATCTTAAAGGCGAAACGTTGGTTATGGTTTTTATAAATAAATTTATTTCACCCTTTTTTTGGCTTTAATTGTTCTATTATAGGTATAAATATTTTAATATTAATAAATATAGTTTCGAATATACCTACAGCAAAATTTCGCAACTCTAAATAATTGGCAGTATTTACTGTTGCCTATACATCATCGAGATTTTAGCTGCTTCCTTTAATATCTCCAAATTAATAAATGTTTTTTCTGCTACTGCAAAATGCGGTTTTACCAAAACTATTTTGTTATTAACTTAATATCGTTATAGAGCGTTAATTAGTTTTGGAAATAAGGGAGTTGTTTAAATTGGTGATAATAATGCATGTGGGTTATTTACGCTAATACAAACAAGCAATGGGTGTGGTTTAATTTAGGCTACCTGATGACAATCAGATGCTATACTGTATGCGTTGGTTTAAAAATTATCTGTGGTTTATTGTAGTAGTAGTACGTAACCTAGTTTTTCAGGGAAATATGCAATTCTTTAGTTTATTTACCCCCCCTTATTTCTTTAACAGCTAAGTGGTTTTCGTAAATCCTGCAGTATCCCGTAAATTAAATCTGGTATAGCTTTGGGACCAATATGGCGTCTGATTAAGTAAGTGGCACCATCCTCGACTATATTCATTCTCTTTATGCCCTACGTATGTCAATTTTATGTTTATTATTGTCTAATTAATGCTTTTCTTCATCTTGTTTAATGCCTTTTCTTGTGTCTTTGAGATTCAAATTGCCATTAGTTTTTGGCTATGGTTGTTTAGGTGGTGTGGCTGGCGAAAGGGCGCCCGCAGGATTTATAGCGGTATAAAATTCATGTTCGTTTTAGTAGCATTGATGTAGTTGATGATGCATCGTTAACATTAATTACTTATTGTTTTTCCTGCATTTTGAACAAACCCAAGTTTGATTAGAAAGATTGTTAGTTACAGATTATTAGTTACATTTCAAGTATTTATTACGAAAACATTTTTATAACTTTTTTAATGGTGTGAGAACTGTTTAATCGTAAGTAATATATCACGTGATCAAGTAATTGAAAATTTGAATAATGTCGCGTTAGTGTTTTGTCGAAGGTGTGAAGTAGTAATTTTTAGTGTAATAAACATTTAAACGACCGAATTGCCGATTCCAACCAAAGATCGTAAGAGCGTGGAAACGTCGTGCATTATAAAGGTAAGAATTCTTATGTTATGTTTTCTCGAAACGCAGCTAGGTTATGTCCTAAACATGTGTAGCGGTATTTTGTTATTAGCGGTTAGAGCAGCATTATAAAAGGTTAAATAGTAAAAAGTTTCTAAACATCTAATTATCTTTAATATTGCGATAGATCGAGAGCAAAACGAAAAAACATATAAAAGTGCTTGTTTAAAAATTGTCATGAATATATTTTTATAATTTTTTATCATATTTTAATGACAATATTAGTGTTGTTTTGCATGCTTTGTTGTGGGTTTTTCTAAGTGTTTTCAATGTTACAGTGGCGTAACAATAGGGTTGCAGAACGAGCAAAATGCCACTGGCCTTCGGTCCTAGAGGCCGTGAGGACAAAATTTGGTAATTAATTTTGTATTTAATCAATTTATGTTAGGTATTAATTCAAGAACATACACGAATTATGCAAATAAATTATCAAGACTTGAACACATTCATAAGAAAAAGATATTGACCAGTTTTAGAACCTATCCATTGCGCTAAGTTCATTTTTATGCCTCGACACTTTGGTGGCGCGGGTTAGTGATGCTGGGGGAATTCCTGCTTTCTATTTTTGAAGGACGTTCACATCTGTAATTTTACAGTTTTTCTATCAATATGCTCTTTAAAATGTACATAATAATTATAATAGCGTTGGGAAGTATACATAGTTACTTTACTTCGTGGATTATCAAGATGAAATTACAACGTGAAGCTTTTTATATAAAGGGGGGCATCCGATAAATTTGCAACGGGCCTCAGATGGTATAGGTACATTGCTTATTGAAATGGACAGTACGGCAATACCAATCATTGTCTTTGTGAAAATTTATTTTCTGATGGCAAGGCAAAAACTTTTGTGCAAAAATACAGATACCTATTTTGTCATTTATGAATTAAACGTAATAGGTAAAATTGTAAAAAACGTTTAATTTTTTATAATTACACAATTAAAAAAAAAAAACGAATATTACCTGCTGTATGGCACATTCCGGAAGTAGGTAAATATGTTGATTGTGGGGGTAGTAGTGGTATTTCGTTGGTTTTACCAGAGCAGCACTTGCATCAGCAGGTAAAGGTAAAAGATTCTGAAATAAGAAAAATAAAATAATTCCATATTTATATCATACATTAGAATAATTGACCATTGACGAATCATAGTTTTGTTATCCAAATTATCTGTTTCTAAACATTCTCAAAGATTGAGTTTTCTGTTTTTGATTTCTGTATGTACCTATATAATTTTAAAATTTTCACAAAAACGTTAATTGTTTCACGTAGGTTGAATTGTTTTTGTTATTTTCAAAACTTTTTGTGTGTTCTTTATCGTTCCAGCAGAGGATTTTCCAGTTTGTCCAATATAATCTTTTTCGTAGCCACCATGTTGTAATAAATAAAAAGATAATTAAGACTACAAACGGCACAGTGAACGATGCGTGCTACAGATGGCGTTCACTGTGCCGTTTGTAGTATTTTCTGAAACGCACTGTTAAGACAGCAGATAAAAGTTGGTCTGTGTTCTGTCGGAGCTGCCTGCGCGCGCTGATGAGATCCAAAAAGATCGAAATCGCGATCCGCGTCTGGCAGTTTCGACAGAATACAGACCACTTCGAATTATTTTATTCGAATTATTTTATAATTAAGACTGTTTATCTATTACAATGTGCTGACTGCGACTGCGAAAAGGCTTATATTGGACAGATTGAGACACCCTTTGTAAGATAGTAAAAGATCATAGAACTTTGTATTTTATAATAATAAAAATAATTCGATCTTTTAAAATTCTACATACAGAAAACAAAAGCAGGAAATTCAGCCTTTTAGAATGTTTAGAAATAAATAAATTAAATAAGAAATGTCTGATTCTCAATTAAATGTCAACAAATCGCCCTTAATAAGCATGTTCTAAATGTCGAGTTTCTTGTTTTTGAATTTAAGGCGCANTTATTTATTTTCAACGATTTTAGACTAAAATAAAAATTTTTTATTCGTTACTTATTACGTTCGAACAAGGAAATTATTATTTTAGTAGCATTTGTCCGATACTTTTTTAATTATCTTGGTTACTGCTTATGATTAATTGATCTTAGCTAAAAACAAGTAAATACAGTTTCATAAAATAATAAGATTAAGGGAAGGAGTTGGGTGAGTGATCATAATATAACTAATTGTAAGTACAGTTTCAACGGCATTTAACATTTCTAATGGCAGTTAAGCATAACATCAGAAAAATCACAAACGATGTGAGTGGTTTCTTTGAGCATTATAAGTATTACATTTCTGGTTGGATGACTCGACAGTAAATGTAAACCGACCAGCCTTAAAAACGAATTCTGAGCACTTTGTCTCAAATAAAAAAAAAAAAAAGTAATTGTTAGTAACGTTCCAGCAACACTAATTGGTAACTGTAGTGATAAAATTATAATAGTCGAATGTTTCTATTTCTACAATAGTTCACACTGTAAATTATACAACACACAAAGAGTCAAAATAATGACCCAAACGAAAATGACTCTATTATTATAATTTGTATCTTTTAAAAATGAATGAAAATATTGTGAATTTGATACTGTTATGCTCTATAAAGTTTAACAATTTGACTATTTGACCACTTCTTCAACTAAACGAAATTAGTCTTTTTAGATACTTAGGCTGTGTTAGGACTAAATTTGGAATAAAACTGTTCAAATCAAACAAATCTGTATTACATCTTCTGTATATGTATACGATGCTTTATCTCTTTCTATTTGCGAGCAGTAATTTTCTCTAACTCTTCCTCTACCCCCTCTTAACTCCTGTTCCTGCTCCTAATACGTTTTTAATAAGCTCTTCATGTCTGAGAAAAAGGTATTTTTTTAATATCCTTTAACACTACATTTCAAAACGCTTCTAATTTTCTTTTCGCAGTGCCCACCGTTCACCCATACAAAGCCGTGCTCTAAACATACACCTTTAATAATTGCTACCACAAAAATTATTTTCGACCCGACCCTGCGCTATTCTTTGTTACGAATATAAATAATTACTGTTCGTTTCAAGAAGTTAGAGATATGCCGCTTCCCTTTGTTAGGATGCGCCGTAGCATAATTCCAAATTCAATCATTTTTGTCTGCGTAGCTCATTTCTTCATCGATCATCGAGCGAGAGCTAGACAAAAGTGTACAGTACCATTTGCAAAATTATTTAAACTGCCTCGTTAAAATTTAAGAATATGCTTTATTTAAAAGCATATTTAGCCAAAAATAATAACAAATGAATTAACTTAACGCTCTACACACCTATAAAACTTTTGCTTTGTTTTCTATTATTAATTTTCTACATTTCTATTTTAAGAAATTGCTGAACATTTTCGTCTAGTACTGTACAGTTCTAGCAGATCTCCTAAGACCGTCACATCGAGAGCCCTGCTAGTTCAAGCTTGTTCCAACTATTTCTGTCTTGCTCACGCCTAATGTGTATTCTTTCTATCTTCGCGCAGATTTCTTCAAGGTCACAATTCTAGCAAATTGAAATGAACTGTATTGGAATTTTCCCTGCCTCGTATAGGTGACTAACTAGTTTAAACAAACGATCTCTAACCTTTTACCAATATATAGCTTAAAATTTAACCGCATCTACTTCTAGTATCTTACTAAGTTCGACTATATGTATATTATAAACAAGACACTTTTTACATTCTACTAATATTATGGTAAATTTCATAAATACCATCAGCAAAACGATGCAAAAACCTGAGTTTTTGAAACTCATTGCGAAGCTATGGAAAGAATACGACAAAATACTGAAGAACTGAAATTTTTAAAATTCCTTATAAATCCTGAGATGAATCCTCAAAATCCTGATACTATTCTGAATTATGTATTTAAATGAAAGTAAGTAGTATGAAACCTTACATATCCTAGCTCTTGTTTTACGTGTACTACGTATTTGTTAACCAAAATTAGGCTAAACTGTGTCTATACAAACGCTGTTTAACTTGTGATGGAAGCATGCCATAAACTAAATTTTTATAAATTTTGTTCAACATCCAAACACAGTCTAACACCAAAACAAAATTTTAAAATTCTTCGAGAAATACCTGTCTAAAAAAAAAAAACGTTTTGGGGTTTAAAATTTCAACAAAGAAAAAAGGCAAAGAGAAAGGTTTTTACAGTTTTTAAGAGTTTTTAAATTTATAAAAGCAAATCCGTAAAACATTGTATTCGTTTTCATTCAGCAATTTTTTTTTTGGATTTTAAGGGGTTACTGCCCCGTTATTTTTACCGCTTAGGGCCCTTATTTGACTTGACCCGGCTTTTTTCAATGGACACCTTGTATAAAAAGGCGTACCAGTATATCATTTTATCAGTGGCGTAGCGTGAAATTTTGTTACCCGGGGTGAAGTTTAAGTTCGCCGCCCTTGCTATTTTCACTTTTATGTACTTTGGTTTTATTTTTATTTAATTTGGTCGGAATTGCAGTGAAAAGGTGTGCCCAAAAATTTATATTTTTGATTTAGCCTTTGACGAGATAAGTAGTATTTATTATTAGCGTAAATTGAAAATGTATGAGTTTATTTACAAATACCTTTCCTTACAAACTTATACAGATCCATACATACATATTGGGTACTATTTATATTTGATTGAAATAGAAGTTTCACGATCAGTCAGTAGGTACAATAGCAAACAAGGGTGTAATTATAGTGTACTATGAAATTCACACGGCCAACTTCCCAGTAAAAATAATAAAAATCAATATTTTTCAAGAAATCCCTAAATTTACTTTTTCCTTTTTGTTGAAACAAATTTAATGATTTTTTCTTCAGTCTCTACATTTGTGCCGCCCGGGGACCATGGCCCCCTTTGCCCCTTCACGTTACGCCACTGCATTTTATACTTACGTAGGTATACGGGCATGTATGGTGATTTCCATGTATAAGCTGAAATATTTGACCGCTACTAGTTAAAAAATGTAAAGCTCAAGTTCGAAAACAAATATGGGTTGACGCGACAAAGAAATATTCATATTATTACTAGGAGGCAATGCAAATATGTGCTATGCAAATTAGGTCCAATTGTAAATATGGAAGTGCAGTTTACAAACATAGCCTACATACATATATAGGAAAATGGACAACATGTCTACGGTATCCTAAACTTGTATTACACGAGTTGTCACAAAAATATAGAACTACCTATCTGTAAAATGTAGTTAGCCCCCAGCGAAATATTTTTGTGGGGGGGGGGAGGGCGCAACCGAATAATCAACTTCTGTACTTTTCAACTGTTTTACACACACACGTCCAAAAATATGCATTTATAAATAAAAAATAATTATCAAAGATTAATGTTAAATCAACTTAATTTAATCCCACTTCAGATTACTTCAGGTTAAAGAGGTAAAACTGTTTGTTGCTGATGTCACTGCCCCGCCGGGAATCGAACTCGGGCCTTTTTCTGTTTTTATCATCGTTAGAGCATTAAGTCTTTAACGATGGACCTGGTCGAAGTTTTAACTATTTTCAATTCGACGCAAAGTAAAAAAGAACAGCACTAGGCCAGAAAAGGAAAGGAGACAACTCTTTACCGGTGAGGAGCGTATAATCCGTACAGTACTGCACGGAAAAATTGACCATTTTATCCACTTCAATTGCATTGCTCAAATGTGCTGTTATTGATACCATTTACTACTGAAAATATCAACAAGATCTTTATTTATATTTGAAGATATAATAAAGGCTTTTTAATGCTTGTTTTCGACTCATGATTGAACAGAACTTTTGGAAGGTACTGTATGAAAAAGTATGTTTAATGAACAAGAGTCGAGAGTATAAAAGTTTTTTTCTCCCTATCTACGATTTTGCATGCGCGCATCCAAGACATTGGAAGGGGCACATCGCTAGAGAAAGTAAATGAAGTATAATATTCTTTTTGACCAAAGGGTTTGTGAGAATGTTTCATATTGAATTCAAACATTTTACGACCATTTTGAGTTTATTTCGTAAAAAGTTTTAAACGCTTAATTATTTTCTATATAACATATTTATATAAAAGCTCGCTGCATTGGATACACAGTTACCAATTGTTTCCGTTCTGGGTTAATTTTA